AATAATAACATTAAATATATTGTATTTTTTATATTAGCTTTATTATGCAAAATTACCTCCAGGTATAGAAGACAGATATGTGTTTTTGTTAGATCCAATGCTTGGTAAGTATCCGTTATTAAAATATTTAATTTTAAAGAAACATTATTTATTTTACATTTTTAAAAATTTATAAAGCGACTGGTGGATCAGCAATAAAGGCTATAGAAGTGTTGATATCTCATGGGGTCAAAGAAGACAAGATATTGTTTTTGAATTTAGTTGCAGCACCTGAGGGCATTCAAGCCGTTACTTCAAGGTTTTCTAAACTCAAGATCATAACTGCATACATTGATAAAGGATTAGATGATAAGAAATATATTATACCTGGATTAGGTGATTTCGGTAAGTCAGATTGGAAATAATTTGTAAAACAAATAAATTTTGTCTAATTATTAATTTATAATTTAATAGGTGATAGATATTTCACATGGCCTTAAATTGAGAATTATTCTGAATCACTTAGAATTGAAAGCCAAATTTATTTTATTTTGACTATTTACATGATATAATCAAATACTAAATTTGCCAGTGTATAAAATAAATAACTTTTTAAAGAAAAAGTTTCTGCTTAATTTAAAATTTTGTCGAGTGTACTAAATGACAAGAGAAGACGAGACCAACTTGATTCTGCGTTATACATTACCCCCTCTCCCTCCTGGGGGAGGGAGTGAGGCGGATTTTATCTACTATATATATATATATTTGCCCAAACCTTTGAGATCTCGATTTTTTTTTTTGCCCGAATTTTTCTAGATCTCGATTTTTTTCTATTTCGGAGTTTTTCGGCCTTTTCCGCTAAATTTTGCTCGAACAAGCCCATATTTTAGATTCGTTCATCTACATCAGAAATTTCCGTATATTTATAATTGTAGTCCAAACTCGATATCTATACCTCACAAATTTAAATTTTTTTCACTTTAAACGATGATATTTCGGCATTTCGACAACCACTAGGCCAAATTTGATGTGCCTTTTTTTTTTATTTGAATTCTACAGATGTATAGAATTCTAATAAAAAAAAGTTCATCAAATTTTGCCTAGTGTTTGTGATACCTTTGCACAAAGTTGCAAAACTTTAAACGTCAAACAAAATAGAAACTACGCCAAAATTTCTTTCGCTTTGAACGATGTACTTTTTTTCCTGGATTTTACGGATTTTTAGAATAAAAATAAAAAAAATTTACTGAATTTTGCCCAGTGGTCGTCGAAATACCTTCATTCAAAGTTGAAAAAAACTCCGCCTATCAAAATAGAAGCTGCGCCAAAATTATTCAACTTTAAGCGATGATATGGCTCCGTTTGATTTCACCGACACTCACTTCACCGACATGCCATTTCACCGGCAATCAATTCACCGACAAGTTTATTTCACCGACTATTATTTCACCGACAGTCATTTCGCCGACAAAGTAATTCTGGTCATTGTCGTTAGGGTCCGGCTAGAATTAGAGTTA